CCTGCTGGGAAATGGGAATTGTCCGGGTGGGACTGCCCATTCCCTGCTGGGAAATGGGAATTGTCCGGGTGGGACTGCCATTCCTGCTGGGAAATGGGAATTGTCCGGGTGGGACTGCCATTCCTGCCTAGAAAATGGGAATTGTCCAGGTGGGACTGCCCATTCCTGCTGGGAAATGGGAATTATCCAGGTGGAACTGCCCATTCCTGCTGGGAAATGGGAATTGTCCAGGTGGGACTGACATTCCTGTGGGAAATGGGAATTGTCCAGGTGGGACTGCCCATTCCTGCGGGAAATGGGAATTGTCCAGGTGGGACTGCCCATTCCTGCTCGTTCCTGCTGGGAAATGGGAATTGTCCAGGTGGGACTGCCCTTCCTGCCTAGAAAATGGGAATTTTCCGGGTGGGACTGCCATTCCTGCCAGGAAATGGGAGTTATCCGGGTGGGACTGCCCATTCCTGTGGGAAATGGGAATTGTCTGGGTGGGACTGCCATTCCTGTGGGAAATGGGAATTGTCCAGGTGGGACTGCCCCTTCCTGCTGGAAAATGGGAATTATCTGGGTGGGACTGCTCATTCCTGCTGGGAAATGGGGATTGTCCGGGTGGGACTGCCCATTCCTGCTGGGAAATGGGAATTATCCGGGTGGGACTGCCATTCCTGTGGGAAATGGGAATTGTCCAGGTGGGACTGCCATTCCTGTGGGAAATGGGAATTGTCCAGGTGGGACTGCCATTCCTGTGGGAAATGGGAATTGTCCGGGTGGGACTGCCATTCCTGCCCCATTCCTGCTGGGAAATGGGAATTATCCGGGTGGGACTGCTCCTTCCCGCTCATTTCTGCCTGGAAAATGGGAATTATCTTGGTGGGACTGCCCATTCCTGCCCATTCCTGCCTGGAAAAGGGGAATTTTCTATGTGGGACAGCCCCTTTCTGCTCGTTCCTGCCTGGAAAAGGAATTTATCTGGGTGGGACTGCCCTTCCTGCTGGAAGAGGGGAATTTTCTATGTGGGACAGCCCATTCTCACCCGGAAAAGTAGAATTTTCGGCTGGGACTCCATTCCCACCTGGAAAAGCGGAATTTTCCGGGTGGGACAGCCCCAGGTGGGACAGCCCCTTCCCACCTGGAAAACGCGAATTTCCCGGCT